TTGTTTTATCAAAGCAGTTTCTTATGTTTAAAATCTCAGTGAGTTGTCAGAGTCTTTTAAAAAATGAGATCTTAATATTAAAAGGACTAAAAGCTAAACTTTGCTAACAACTTTGTAACCTTCTTTATTTGCCTTTGAAGTACTTTGTTATCATTCTAGTTAAATAGACAAGTATTGCTTCATGGCAACCTATAATCCTATTTAAGCAAGTGCCAAAAAAACTTTCTTCTGACAACTTCCCAAAATCAAATTCAAAAAGGTACTTTTACCTCTAGTTAACTCTTATATTTTCCAGAAGGCCCTGGAACATGTCAGAGGAACTTTTTCTCATTGGAGAAAATATTTGGCTAATTCAGCTTATTTATCTGATATATATTTACCTAGAAAGCACTGTCAAAAAGAATGGTGCTAAACTTTTGTTACTGAATGTTTTGTTACAGAAATATCCAAATTTCCTTATGACAACTGTCTTACAATAAGCTCTCATCAGATCTTTAACCATTGTCATCTGTAAGTCTTTTGTCATCTATATTCACTGTTTATTACTCCTAAACTAGTAAGAAATTAGATTTCAGCAGAACAAGTATTAGTTACATAAGATTAAGTAAACTAAGGAAGATGATTTTATAGCTTTTTGTTTCAAATGTTGTTGATAAAGCGTTTTAAGCTTTTTCCCTTAAGCTGACAACAGTTTAGTAAATAACTGCCTTTATAAACAGAATTGAAACTTTATCTTTCTCTCTACCTAATCCCTCCAGAATCTAAAAACTCTCAGGGACTATTTTTATATTTCATGGCAGTGTGTTTATTTGCACAAGTTCAATAAGAATCTGCTTTCCTTGTAAGAAGACCAATTGAAAACACAGGTTATACTACCAAGGCTTTGACTGGAATGTCATACCTGAGAGAGACGTGCATAAACTCAGATATGAAGAGCTTTAAGGAACTAAGGTTGACTTTATAAAGCCAACAAGGCCCCTTGGAAGAACTGGCCTAGTACCTTGCTTACAGAGTTCCCAGCAGCCTTACCGGGTGAGTAAAGAAGGTCACTTCCTGGCAAGTGCAAGAACCTCAGCAATGTCATGGGAACCTCAAGGAGAGGAATTCACCCAAATCTACAGGTACTGCAGGCACAACCTGATGGCAAGTCTGGCTTGGCTTTCTGGCCTTAAAAAACCTTTAAAAGTCCAATCTGAAATTCCTTATAAAAAGTTCCAGCAAAGCATATTTAAAAGAGCCTATGTAATCAATTGCTCTTCTTGCTACACTTATGCAAATAATCAAGGACTTATATTTATTTTCTTAATCTAGCTACTTCTAATAAAAATTAGGGTGATTTTAGAGAAAAGGATTGTTTCAGTAATGCAGTCTTATCTATACTAAATCCCAATACTAATCATTGAGATGTAAACTCAATCCAAAATTCCAGTACCCCATAATGGCCTGGCTAATGCCCCTACTGGGCCCCTTAATAACAGTTGGTAGTTTACTCTTAGTTGCCCCTTGTGTCCACAGGTTCCTCCAACAGCGGCTAACTCAGATGACCCAAGTCACCACCAACCAGATGTTACTTCACCGTTATACACCTCTTCCCACTAAACCCCCTCCTTCAGCCTAATACCAGCCTCAAACCCCCACAACGCCCCTTGTCAGCCAGAAGTAGCCTGATCGAGTAGTCGCCCATTATGACCAAAACACTGGACTGTTAGGCTGGAGGAAGAAAAGATAAGGACATGCAAACAGAACAGAGAGATACCATAAAAGGAGAACAGACCAGACCCCAAGGTCCATGCCTTATATGGAATGGGAACAGCTCTTCCTGAACTTCATCCTTCAGATGTGGCAACTAAGACCTGGATGTCAGCCTCCTCCCTCTTGGAAGGAAAAAAAGTTTCTAGTTGTCTATTATGTCACCTTTAGCCAATCACACCTCTCCATGCCCCCTAGGATAGCTTGCCCACTCCTCCCCTCCTGACCCCCTATAAGTCCCCACCTCCCTGACTGGGTGTGACTTCCCCAGCCTCCATTTCCATAGACTGGGGAACCTCACCCAGGGAGTTCAAATAAACTGCCTGGCCCTTTGTTGCCTCTCTTCGCCTGCTTATTTCAGCTAGAATTTATCTTACAATATTATTTCCCTTCAGCCTGAAAACTTCCTTGAGCACTTAATTCTCTTAGTGTTCCTTAGTGCTCATTGTTTTTATTTTGCCTTCATTCCTGAATATATTTTTTCTAGAAAGTTATTTTCTTTTGGAGCTTCAAAGATGTTGTTCCACTGTCTTGTTTCCAGTTTCTGATGAGAAAGCCACCATCATGGAAATCATTGTTCAATGTTTAATGGATCATTTTTTGCAGACTGCTTTTTAAAATTTGCCACCTTAATCATTTTTAAGCACACCTTTCAGTAATGTTTAGTAGATTCACTGTATTATGTGACCATCACCACCCACCTCAACTCTTCATCTTTCAGAACTGAAATTCTGTGCCCACTAAACAACAGCTCTGTGTCCCCTCCCCACCCCCTAGCCCCTAGCAACCACCCTCCTACTTTGCATGTGGTACCTACTCTAGGTACCTCCTGTGCCATGTTTTTATGAACATGAGCATCTCTCCTCACTGTTTGCTCCTTTTGCTCCCCTTCCAGGAGGGAGGCAGAAGGTTAGGGACGTGCTTAGGCTCCACTGCCAGATGGGACTTGTTGGGGGGTGGGGTCTGCACTGGCCAGCTCATGGCCCCACTGGCTGGGAATGTCCTGAGACCCTCCCCTTCCTCCCTCCCCATCCATTGCCTTGATGGGCTTCGTCATGGCCAGAAATCGGGGACCTCTTGGGCGAATTCTGCCCCAAATGTGGAGTGGCCCAGCCCTGGCAGGTACCGTTGTTCCCGAGGTTCACATATACAAAATTATCCTTCCTTTCAGAGAACCTGGCATTTTCTAAGGGAATTTTAGAGCTCATTAATGTGAAATGGGACAGCTTAGTTCTCTGTCACTTGCCACAGTCTGAGTGCCACTGCTGAGGCTGCTGTCACCCGCCCCTTGCAGTGGGAACCTGGTTCTACTCATCAGCCTGAGCCTGGACTCACCAGCCTCACCACCAGACGAGTGACACCTGCTGAGTGTATGTGACCCATGAGCCCCCAGCAGCTCCACTATACCTGCAGGACAGACAGCCTGGCCTGGTGGACTAAGCTAAATCTAGCAAGGCTGATTTCCATGCCTTACTGACCAACACAGGCAGGCGATGAATGAGAGTGGGGACCGACTTTACTGTGTGCAATTGTGATGACTCATTTTGTCAGTCTGACTGGGCCAAGGGGCTCTCACCCACATAGCTGGTAAGACACTGTCTGGGGTTTTCTAGAAGACCAGCATTTGATTCAGGAGACCTAGGATCCGCCCTGAGAACGTGGGGGGCATCAGCCAATCAGCCAGCCCAGCCCACAGAGAGCAGGCAGGGGAGGGGCAGACCATCTGCTGAGATGACCATCTTCTGCCCTGGGCTCTCCACAGTCACAGGCCAGTCCCGACCTACACTTCCTCCTACACGGTCCCCACAGGTCTGTGGGTTCTTCCCCTGGAGCACCCCGACTCACCCAGTGACAAAGGGCTACTCCTGCCTCCTGTTTCCGGGCTCCCGCCCCCTGGGGCCAGGCCACCTTGCATCCCCGCGGGGGGCCCTCCCTGTAACCAGAGCCCCTGCGGGATGAGGTGCCTCCCAGCCTGCAGGGCAGCCGCCGGCGATCCAAGCAGGGGCCTCCTCCCTGCAGGACAGAGGTTGAGCTCTCCTGATGTCTCTGCTTCCTGCCCCTGTGCCCCCCAGCCAAAGCTGCTGTGCTCTTTTGTTTTTTGCAGCAGCCTCACAAGGACCCGCTCACTGCCTTGCTGATGGACTTGACACCAACACATTCTGGTCTCTGAGAAAAAGGAGCACCTTTAAATAGCAAGGGAACTCCCTCTGCCGAGTGACCTCCCAGGAGGGATGGTGCTGGGGCCGCCCGCCGCTGCCCTGCCCCTGCGGAGGCGCGGTCCCTCTTCATAGGATGAAGGGGCTTGGCCTGGGACAGGCGAGCGTGGGTATGGGGGCAGAGGGCTCAAGCTGGCACTGTAATGGCAGTGGGCACTGACCGAGGGCGAACAGACCTTGCAGAGGGAGGCAGCTCCCTGGGGACCCGGCCATGCCAGCGCCCTCCCACTGAGGCCGGGGTTCTCGTTTGCGGAGTCAAGAATGAGCTTAGCGGTCAAGGTAGGAGAGCCGGGAAGACTTTTATTGAGAGAGACGGTGAGAGGACAGACAGAGCTCCAGGCTCGGGAGAGCTGGGGGGCGGGGGGTGGGGGCGCACAGGAGAGCCGGGGGTGCTGCGTTGTCTAGGGGGTTTATAGGCGGTTGAGAGACAAAGAGCTGGGGATGCAGACCCACCAAATGGTCTCTACATGTTTATTTTTACGGAGACACTAGGTTTCTTATGAGGTTTCCAGACTATTTTGCAGTTTGCATAAGAAATTTACTGCTTTGATCCTTTCTTAGAATAGCAGTTTCTTGGTTTGGGAGCACATCAGTGGAGGCTGCTTGTCTTGCTTTCAAGGTGAGCTGAGTTATTGTGGGTTTGTTAAATAGTAAATTAAGAATCTTACTTCTTAACTTCTTATCTTTAAGATGGAATCCTTCCTGCCCTTCATTATGTTGTTTACGGCTGGGCCTACCTGTTATATTAATTGCCCAGGTTATATGTTCCTTGATTAGGGGCTGGAGGAGGAAAAGCAGCATCTGGGTAAAGTTAAAGATAAACTGGGCTTTTTAGCCGCTAAAGTAAATTTTACAATAGCCTCATTTAATTGATACAAACAATACATGGGCTATGCTGAGGTATTTTCTTTTCTGGGAGATGTTCAAACATTGCAGGCTGTTACTCCTGCCTTTTTACTTTTAACTAATCTTCACTGAAGAATGCTTATATTCCTAGTTTAATATTTTACTTTAGAGAATTAATGTGACTCTGTCTTTGCTTAATTGTTTAATACAGAGTTTTGGTAGGGGTCTTCTTCCAGAGGCCCTCACCCTGCTCTGACTACACCCACGGTCCCCGTCTCACCAAGGGAGCAGACGGCCTCTTCTTACCTTGGGTGGGCTCCACCTGCCTGAAAACGGGGCTTCAAGTATTAGGTGGGAAGCATTTTCTAAGTTCTTCACAGAAAAAGGGTAGGAAGGAAATGCACCCTGACCTCTAATGACTGGATCACCAGGGAGTCTTTCCAAGTGTCTCACCTTCCCTTCCAAAAAATTAGGTGAAACCCAATCAATAGACATTTTTATAGTAAAAAGAATATTCTTTAAGGAAATGCATTTTCTGGCAAAACTGCAGGACCTATTTTTATGCAAATGGTGGTACAGACAGGGAGGGGGCCTTGCACAGGAACACGGAAACAAGCCCCAGTGTCCAGTGGCTCCCTTAGATCCTTGCCTAGAGGTCAAAGAGTGATCATAGAAGGAATAAATGAGGGATCATAACTTCCCAACCCTCCAGGGCTTCTCTTTGCTGAGCAAAGGTCCCAAAGTGGAAGAGCAAAGAAGGGAAGGCAGGAGCCTGAAATGCCCTTCTCTGCACCCAGGTGGCAGGAGCCTCTGGGGGTGCCTCCTAGACACAGGCAGGAGAAAGGAGGCCAGCCCAGAGGCCACAGGGCAGGTGGTAGTACAGGCCCTGCCCCAGGTCAGGGGACACCCCAGCAGCTTGGCTACATCTCTACTCTTAAGGGAGTTCTGGAATGCTGACCACCCCAGACACCCTGGTGAGGCAGGTCAGCAGGCCGGCCTCACTGCCTGGTTACTCCTGCCTCAGCACAGGAGAGAGGGCCCCAGGGAGGGACCATGGACACAGCAGGGCCCCTGAAGAAGAGCCAGTCTCTGCTTCAGGAATTTTGCTGGGATCATCAGGTCCGGTGCTCTTGGCTGGAGGGGAGGCAGGTCCCACAGGAACCCTAAAGAAGCATTCCACAAATCCAAGACGGGCTGTGGACCAGCGCCCCCTTCAGAATGCCTCCTTTGCTTCAGCCGTCCAGCACCTGTCAGAGTGCCTGAGAACACAACTAAAATGCACCTAAGGGACGAAGGGGAACCACATCAGAGCCTAGCACAGTGACCTTCGCCCATCGGGTGCAGTTTCGGGAAGGGGGCCAAGGACACAGGTGACCCCAGAAAGTGGGAGTGGCGCATCACCTAGAGCTTAGCAGAGGATGCAAAATCCTCCAGTAACTTGACGTCATTGGGGAACGTCAGCCACGCCCCACCGTCAACCACCAGCACAGCGCCCGTCACGTAGGATGCCAAAGGGCTGGCCAGATAGAGTGCGCTGTGGGCGACCTCCGTCTTGTTCCCTAGCCTCCGCAGGGGGCTGGCCAGGACATCCATGCTTGTGCTGGCCTGGGAGCCACCTGGGAGGACAGCAGGACGCTCAGCCCCCATGAACTCCATGGCCCTCCACCCTCCCCTGCCCAGCTCCCTCCAAGCTACATCCGGGAATGTTGGGGGCAATAGCAGCATCCTAGGGGAGCAGGGGCAGGCCAGGTACAGGGCAGCACCACCACAACCAGCACAGGACTTTATGACGTATGCCCTACCAAGATTCTAGAAGCTTCAGTGGGTGCCTCATCTTGTGCCTGGCTCATATCAAGGGCGGTGGCCCTGTGGCCTCTACCTCCAGGGAGCAGCTGCCCAAGTCCAGCTGACCATAGTCTCTCACGGATGTGCACTGACCAGGATTGGCCCTGACTTGGCTTGGGGACACTGCCAGCCCCATGGAGCAATGAAGACTTGGCACTTATCCCAGGCTTCAGCCCCGGGGAGCACCTGTGGGGGGCCCGAGCTCCCCGAAAGCCTTACCTAGCCGCCGGAACCCCTCTGTGCCACTGATGGGGCCTGGAGCAAGGCTGTTGACACGGATGTTCTGGGGACCCCACTCCACAGCCAAGTGCCTCGTCATCGCATCTGCACGGAAGGAAGGAAGGCATGAGGGAGAAGCTAGGCTGCTCTGCCTCCTGGGGGCACTTGGGTGCAAGTGGGGTCTCAGGGTTGGGGCCGGGCCTCTCCACTGCCCATCACTGGACTGAGCATCACACAGATACTGCAGGCCTCCTGGGACAGACAGGAGGGGGACTTGACAGGAACCCAGGCAGCAGACCAGGGGGGTGCCCATACCCACGGCAGCCTTGGCAGAGCCTGCGTGCACTTGGAGCACCTGCCCACGGGTACCCAGGGTCGCGGTGATGTTCACAATCACCCCACCGTGGTCCTGCAATACACAAAGCAGGCGATGAGCTGGCAGCGAGAGGAGGGGCAGCCGGCCCAGAGGACACGCACCCAGAAGAACTTCTCGTAAAGCACCCGAGACACATTGAAGGTGCCCAAGGCGTCGATGTCCATCACAGTCTTGAAGGCATTGAAGGACAACACGCTAGCAGGGCACAGGAAGTTTCCAGCCGCACCTGTAGGTGGAAGGAGACAGCAGATGGTGCCAGAGCCCTAGGTAGTTAGAGTCCAGGCTGGACAGGGAGAGACCCGGAAATTTGGACAAAATCCTGAATGACAGGAGCAGGGTGGATGTATTGGGTTGTGTCCCTCAAAAAGCTACGTTGAAGTCATTACACCTGGGACCTGCACATTTGACCTTATTAGGAAATGCAATCTTTGCAGATGTAATCAAGTTGAGATCATACTCTATTTAGGTGGGCCTAACGCCAAGGACAGGTGTCCTCAAACAAGAAGAGAGGATACAGACACACAGGGAGATGGCTGTGTGGGGGAGGAGGCAGAGGCTGGAGCGAGGCAACGCCAAGCCCAGGGGCGCCCAGGACACCAGCAGCACCAGAGGCTGAGAGGGGCCAAGACAGAATCCCCACTGGGTGCTTCACAGGAGTGCAGCCCTGCCAGCACTTGGTTTCAGGCTTCTGGCCTCCAGAACTGGGGAAACAATTTCTTATTTTAAGCCCCACAGCTTGCCGTCCTTTGGCAGCCACAGGAAACTAATATACTGGAGATTTTAAGAAGGAATTTCAGCAAAAAGTGAACCTTAAATTAAGGACTATGGTTAACAATATGTGTCAATATTGGCTCACCAATTTATAAAAACCACAAGATGTTAACAATAAGGAACACTGGGAGTGGCGATTTGCAGAATTCTGTGTACTATCTGCTTGATTACTCCATAAATCTAAAACTGTACTAATAAAGTACAGTCTATTTCTTTTCTTTTTAAGGGGGAATTTCAAGACACTCTTGACTGTGATTCACCCCAGTTCACAGGGTCCAATTTGTGGGAGCTGCACTGACCCAGAAGGAGCATTTGGGCCAAGATAACATTCAGGAGCCTGGGACAGATATCTGGGGCCTCCACACAGGGAGGTCTGGTACTGCTAACCCCTCAGAACCCCCTGGCCTCACTCAACAGCCACTCACAGTTAACAAGGATGTCAATTTTCCCAAACTCCTTCAGTGCCTGGTCCACGGCAGCTGTGATGGCTGCTGGAACTCGGACATCCAGAGATAAAGGGAGGCACTGCTGGCCAGTGGCAGAGGCCAGCTTTCTGGCAGCCTAGAAGCCGGACAGGAAGAGACAGGTGGGCAATAGTGTTCTTGTCCTGGAAGAAAAGCCTTTCAGAGCCTGCTGAGGATGACGTGTCCAGGTTCTGCTGGGAAGCTGGACCCCACTCTGGGGATGCACAGCTGCCAAGTGGTGACTTCCAGGGGTCATAAGCCCTGGTAGGCATTTCCAAGACATCCCACACTCTCTCCCCTACCAACCTGCTCCAGGATCCCCGCTCTGCATCACCTCCCAGGCATTGGTCACTGGTCACAGGTTAATGGTACCCCAGCTGACTTTCAGTCCCTGCCCAGAAACCAGCTGTGGCAGCAGTGAGACTCTCCTCCCCATGGGTGGGACACACACGGACCACCTTATGAGCCTGGTGAGCTGCAACACTTCTCTTGGGGCTATAATAACACCCAGCATGAGGGCTTCTTCTCAGGACCCACTCATCCAAATTTTTTATAAGCCCAGATGTCCCTGGGAGACCACTTCCACTGAAGCTCCATATTTGGAAAGGAGCAGGCTTTGGTGTCAACATTCTCTGGGCCCCATAGCCACCCACAGACAGGGTGGGCACAGGAGAGACCCCTCACCATCGAAACTCTTGGAAGGCTTCTGCTGGCGATAACTGTATGGCAGCCGTGCCTGCAAAGCCAAAGGGCAGGTGCGAAGGACACATCAGGTGGGCTCCTGCCTGCTCTACCAGAACCCCCTCCCTCAAGGTTCCTGGGCTGAAGCACCAGCCCAGGGGTGAGGGCACAGCTGGCAGAGGGGACAGGCCCTGAGCAGGGTTGAGTGGCTGTGGCAGGTAGGGGTTCAGGTTTCTGGCCAGGCCTCTCTGGCACAGGTATCTCGGCCACACAGGGATGCAGGCCCTGTCCGAAACATCATGTGCACAGCATCAAAGCAGCCATGAGCCTAGGATTCAGGGTCCAGGCATCTGCATGGGGCCTGCTGGGTCTTCCTGGCTCAGCCCCACGTGTCCCTGACCTCCCCTGCCTTCGAGGTTGAAGTGAAGGAGAGCACCCCTTCTGAGGTTAGGGTGCATTCCCTGCCTCACCTCCTGACGCAGCCAGCCTCACAGTAACAATAGCAGCCATTACCTGCTAATCAGGCCCCATCTAATCCTGCAAATGACCTGAGCATGGCTGGCCATGAGCTCTGCTCATGCACAAAGCTGCCAACTTAGAAAATGGGTTCACCTGAATTGGCTGAATCCCAAAAGCTCATCCAGTGGGACTTACCTCTGGTATGAAAAGTGGGTGTCTGGGGTAAACTAGGGAGGGGCCCCAGTTGATCAAGAGGCCCCCTCTGTTCCAACCCAGCCTACCTCTGGGCCTCTCTCCCAGGTGAGTGTGTCTCCCAGTAAACACAGTGCTGACGTGAGCCTGAGGCCACAGAACTTGTGTCCCAACAGACAATGTGTCAAGGTCAACTTGTCCACCCTAATCCTGGCTCCAAGAGGGCCCACAGAGCCCTGCCCTACGGTGGGTGACCTCAACCTGGTGAACCCTCCCTCTTTGTACAAATGGGGGTGCTGAAGCCAGAGCCACACCAGCTGGACTAACCTCTAGGAGACCCCCTCCCCCAGGAGAGCGTCTGACCCCTCTCAAAGCGCTTAGAGGGTTCCCGCCGCCCACCAGCAAGTTTCCCAGGGATGGGGCAGGCGGGGGCAGGGGGCACAAGGCAGCGCTCACCGCATAAAAACCTCAGCAATCCGGAACCCGATCCCCGAGCCGCCGCCAGTGATGAAGGCCACTTTGTCCCTGCCAGAAAACCCAGGCGGCCCTTGAGAGGCCCGTTAACGCGGCCGGACGCGAGGTTTGACACTCTGACCTCTGGCCCCGGCGCTTGTTGACAAGGAAGTCGCAGGACTTTCGGAGAAGAGAACCTGAAACGCCGCCTGGCAGAGCCTGCGCTCTGCGGAGATTCCTAGGGACTACTTCAGTTCCTGAGCCTCTATTCGGGGACTTACAACGAGGCGATTCCCGCCCTACAGGCGCCCCGCACGCGCGCTCCCGCCCCGGCCCGGAGGGGACTACTGCTGGCCCCGGGCGCCTGCCGCCTCACCGAAGCAGGTCAGGGCAGAAGAGGTAGTGGTACTCGAGGAGGCAGTCGTCCTCCTCCACATCGGGCGGCGGCTGGGCCATGGCGCTAGGCAAGGGCGGACAGCGCGGGGAGAGCGACGGCCGACTCTCAGCCGCCAGGGCGAGAGTGCAGAGCCCCGGACGCCCCACCCCTCGCGGTCCTCCCTTCCCCGGACGCCCCGCCCTCCACGACCGCCCCGCCCCTCGCGGTCGCCCCTCCCCCGGAAGCCCCGCCCACCGCGGCCGCGCAGCCTGCTGGGACTTAGGGCCCTGCTCTGCGCGGCGGGCGCAAGCGCAGTGCCGTGGGCCTGTCCCCGCTGTGGATGCCGGTGAGAGGGCGCAGAGCTGTCCGCGTTCCCCCCGAGTCCTTCCGACAGGAGTGGGAGCCGGCGCCATGGTCGGAACCCGCTGTATGCGGCGGGCGCTGGGGCCCCGATATTCACTGAAAACGCCTGGTAGGGGGCGTGCAGCATTTAAATGCCCTTGCTCTCTGACACCGCCCTTCCCTGCTCCTTAGAGGGGAGACTAGAGCCGGGGAAGGCACAAGAAACAGGCTTTCTCTCACGTGGCCGGCCCCAAGGCCAGTTTCCAGAATGGCCCGCTTCGTGGCAGATGAGGAAAAATCAGGCACCTTATTTGTGCCATTACCTGGAGACACAGGTAGCAACCGAGGCAGTGAATCCAGGACCAGGGCATCCGGCGCCAGGATGTCAAAAAGCAGAGTGAGGACCAAGTTGGCCTCAGTAGGTGTGATGACGTGCAGTGTCCAGTACATGACAGTGACAACGAACATACCTGGGGCCCCGAGGGGAGGTGTGATGGGTTTAGTGTCAACGTGAAAACAGGTGGACAGGCAGCTCTGGTCAGCCTCAGCCATGAGACCACGAAGATGGGATGGTGCATGGTCACCAGGCTATGTGTCCCAGGGGGTGGTCTCAGCCCCCACCCATTCCTGCCAACCTCCAGTCCTGCCCAAGAAATGCAGCTCCTTTAGCAGGTCAGAGGAGTAAAGCAGGACATCTGCTCTGGGTCTCAGCTTGAATTCCCCCAGACTCCAGGCTGTAGGTCTCTGGCCCACTCCCATCTCATACATTCACCAGTTATCGATCCCCCACTGGTGTGTGAGAGGGTAAGCTCCATTTCTATTTCCAAACTGCTTACAACTTTGCATAAAGGCCTCCTCCCTCCTTCAGAGATGCAGGAACCATAATAAGCACTCCACTCCCATGCACAGCAGTGTTTTAATGCACTCTCCCTTTGGAGGAGAGATCACACTATCCACTTTTGGAGACACCCCAAAGGCCGACTGGCACTTCAGTACAAAAAGGATTTGGTCCAGTCTCTTGCTGGTTTGCAATATTAAAAGGCACATAAAGTTGTGAGCTCAACCCTCTGGGCTCGGGTGGGGCAGAAGATGGACTGGGAGGTGGTCTGGCACAGATGGGCGGAGTGTGGGTGTGTCGACAGAGGTAGTTGGTCCTGAGTGGATGCTTGGGGGGCCGAGGCAACCTGAACGCTCAGGCTGGGTAGATGCTGCCGTGGTGGCCTTCATATGCCCAGTCCACCAGCTCATTGCTCTGGAACCACAGCAGGATCTCCCACTTGGCCCTCTCCACAGAGTCACTGGCATGGATGACATTCCTGTGACAGGCAGCAGAGATAAGGTACAGGCTTCAATGTGTACCTTGGGAGTCCTGGGGATGGTCTGCTGATCTCCTGCTATGCAGGGGAACAAGCCCAGGGACCATGCAGAGGGGAAAAAGGAGTAGGGGAGCTGGAAAAACAGCTTCAGCCTGGCCTCAGCCGTTCACTCACAAACACATGGACCAGCCAGACTGTTTCTGGAAACCTCATTTTCCTACCAGTCATTCTTCACCAACCCCTCAAAGTATCTGGCATGATAGAGCCAGATAACAGATAATAATGTCAGAGCACACATAACACATGGGGAATGCTTTGTTATCTCCTGTGCAGTAAACTGCACAAGCAAACATTTCGATATCCCACTATCAAGTCTCTCCTGGCTTCACCTGCACCCAGCAAGATGCCCAGGTCCTGTGGATCTGCCTAGGACCAATCTGCCACCCAAAACACAGGTCCTTCTCAACCCTAGTGAACTGGCCCAACAACTCCCAGTGGCTATGTGCAGGACTCCATACCTGCTGATGTGGACACTGAAGTTCTCCCTGGATGGTGCCAGGGGCAGCCTCAGCCAAGTCAGTGTGTCCTATCATGCCCTTGAGGTGCAGACCATGTTGGGGCCTTCCCAGACCTGCAGCACAAGATAAGGGAGGTTGGGAGAAATGGGGGTCACCAAGGGCTCAGCAGCTCTGGACCCAATCCAGGGCGCTCCTCCCCTTCCACTGCCCCCTGCCCCACTGTACCATGGCCACCATGGGGCCGGAGCTCATGTAGCTGATGAGGGCTGGGTAGAAGGGCTTCCTCTGTAGGTCATGGTAGTGCTCAGCAACAACACACTCTGGCACCTAAGTGGCATTGGGGGAAGGGGTGAGAGGAGCCCCTGTAGACGGAACCCCACTGAACACTAGGGCAGTTTGCAGATAACACCTACATGGGCTGGGCGCACCAGCCACAGAAGTACAGGGCAGACACCTACCCACCCCTCCCCTATGGCAACCAAGACACTCCTGACCCAGGAATGAGATGTGAAGGGCTGAGGTTCATGAGAAGCCCCCACCCCAGGCCCCTCAAGGACACACACAGGCTGAGAGCCCTGGTACCTGCAGCAACTTCATCCCCACCAGCCCGAAGACCCTCTGCTCAAAGTGCTGGATCATATCCCCAACGAGCCGCTGCTGCACCCCGTCTGGCTTCACTGCAACCAGGGTCCAGGAGGGCACTCCCTTAGAACAGGGCAGGGTTCAGGGTGCTGCCACCTCACCCTTTCACTTCTTCCCCAACCTGGGTTCCCCTACCAGGGCCTAATGGGCTTCAGAGGGTCTTCCTCTACCAGAGCAGCTCTGGAGGGGGAAATACTGGACCTGCAGCCAGGAACTGCTCAGCGGGGCACTGCCTACCAGGACAACCAGGGAATAGGTCCCCAGGGACTTGAACCTGGCTCCTCCCAGGCAGTGACAGAAGCTGCCCCTGATGGAGTCAGTGTCCCTGAGATGGCAGAGCCTAGAGGCCTGTGAAGGCCTAGCCCAGCTCAGTGGCCACCTGGAGGCCTAGAGGTACTGCACCAGAAGGAGAGCACAACTCTTGGCCTCGCTTTTGACTCCTGTCCTTTGGGGTCATGGCGCAGGCACTGTCCAAACCCCAGCCTGCCACATGAGGGGGGACCCAGAGCTCTTCTGCGTCTGAGATGAAGAAATGGCAGGGAACCAGGGAGAAGTGTGCACTTTTGCCCCCAGGTGGGCCACAGGCACCAGGACAAGGGGACCTGGGCACTGAGGAGGAAGGTGGAAGGGTTCCTGTCTGCAGGTGGGGAAATGCTTCTCCCCACACCCTCGTGGCCAGGGGCGGCCAGGCAGGAACTCTCCACTGCTGTGAGGTTGCAAGGCCCAAGGACAGCTCAGACCCCTGCCCCAGCCTTCCTCCTGGCCAGGGGACACTGCCAGTGAGACAGGAAGCCTCACCACCTCCCACAGCCCCAGGCCAGTTGCAGAGTTTTGCTGACCTGCCCTGGGTCCAGGGTCAGATGTGCTTGTGAGGAGCCCAGACCCTGGGTGTCCTGCAAAGTCCTGCAACGAGGGAGAACAGGACTCAGGGAGAAATGAATAGATGTGGAGGGGGGACATCTGTAGATGCCGCTTCCAACCCCAGGTGGAAAATTAACCATAACGTGTGCTGGACCTGGAAAGCGTACAGTGGGTACCCACTACAGCCCTTCAGGGCTGAAAAAGACACACCCTGCCCCGGCTTGTTCCCCCAAAACCCAGTGCCTCACGCCACCCTAACCTGCTGCCCTCCTGGTGTCTCCCGTGCCCTCGCTTTCAGGAAGCAGCAGGGACGAGGGCCTGGGCATGGTGGGCCCATTCCGACCTAGAGAAGCGTCCCAGGCCCACGGCTCTGGGGGGACTGCCCATCCGCCAGAGCCCAGGTCCGCTCACCACGCGTGCGGCCACCAGGCCTCCAGCTTCCCTGTCCCGAGGAGGCCTGGCGGGGCGGTCAGCAGCGCGGAGAGTGTGCGAGCCAGCGGGAACCCAGGCCTCCCCGCGAGTCAGCTGGCGGCGGGTTCGGACGGCCCACGGCCGACCGGCCGCACGTGCGCCCCCGCTCACCGCCAGCCCCGCGCCGCGCTCGCTCCCCTGAGTTGGGGCGCGCGAGCAGGTCCGGGGCCCCACGGCCCAACAGCAGACCTCGCGGCGCGGCGCGCCCCGCGAGGCTGCCCACGGCCCTGCGCACGCGGGACGGCGGAGGTGGGGGGCGGGGGCGGGCGGGGAGGGGCTGCAGGAGGGTGTTGAGGGGCAGGCAGAAGGAGGGTGTTCGTGGAACGGAACGGAAGAGGCCCATGAAGGCCCCCTGTTGTACGGTTCCAACTTCATGACACTCTGGAAAGGGCAAAACTGTGAAGACAGTAAAAGGTCAGTGGTTGGGGTTGGGCAGGGCGAACAGGTGGAGCACAGAGGACTTCACGGCCGTGAAGCTTCTCTCTGTGATGCTATAATGGTGGATCACTGTCTTTCCACCTTTGTCAAAATCCGAATGTACACCAGGAGTGAACCCTGATGGAAACTGTGGACTTAGACAAAAAAATAGGTCAGTATAGGCCCGTGGATGGGTGTGGGATGTCGATAGTGGAGGAGGCTGTGTTTTGGGGGGCCAGAGAGTATACAGGAATTCTCTGGACTTACTGCTCAGTTTTGGTATGAACTCAAAACATTTCTAAAAAATAAAATCTGTTAAAAACACACACCCACAGACCATGAAGAAGGAAAAAAGACAAGTCACAGAATGGGCAATAATGTTTCCACACCAAAAACCTATACAAGTCTTGTGTCCTATTACCAGAAATCCAAGACTAAAAGACCAGTGGACCCAACAGCACAGCAGACACATACTCAGAGATTCACTTCGCCAAAGAGGAAATCCAAATGGCCAGTAAACACATGCAAAGGTGCTCAGCCCCAAGAGCAATCAGAGAAATACAAATAAAGCCACAGTAAAAATCTCGTCTGAAAATTCCAAGTGTTAGTGAAAATGGGGACCCTGGAAACTCATACACTGCTAGTGAGAATGTCAACTCACAAAACCTGCTCTGGTAAGCAGTTTGGAATTATTGAAATATCAGAAAGACAACCTACAAAAACAGAAGCAAATATTTGCAAATTACATATCTGATACGGGTCTTGTATGAAGAATTTAAGAATCTTACAACTCAAAACACAGAACAACCCAATTCACAACCTTGCATGCACCCCTCCCCTTGAGTGTGGGCCGAACCTACTGACTACTACTAACGCTAGTATACAGCAGAAGCCACGGGATGTCACTTTCACGATCTGCTTACCAAAGACCAGCTGCTTCTGCTTCTTTCTCCCTCCTCCTCCCTCTCCCTCTTCTTCTTCCTCTCCCTCTCTCTGCCCTGGAACCTTCCCTCTAGGAGAAGCCAGCTGCCATGTTGTGGGTAGCCCCATGCATGGGATGTCCACATGGCAAGGACTGAAGTCTCTGGACAACAGCCATGAGGACCTGAGGTCTGCAAATAGCCACATATGTGAGTTCAGAAGCGCTTGAAAAAAATATTCCCTCTTCAGTAATTGGATGTAGTGCTCTAAACATAATTAGTTCAGGGTGGTTAAGATTATTGTTCAAATATTCTATCTTATTTTCTTCTCTAGTTTGTTCCATCAACTGCTGTGAGGTTGTCAAAATCTCCTATCCCAATTGTGTGGAAGTAACTCGTTCTTTTTTATCTGTCAGTTTTTCTTCATGTACTTTGAAACTCTTTTATTAGGTGGATACACATTTTTTCCTCCTTATGAATTTACTCTTACTGTTATTAAATATTTTTATTTATTTTTGGGTAATATCTTTGTTTTGAAATCTACCTTATCTAATAGAAAGATAAGCACTCCAGTTTCTCATGCTTATTTCATGATATTTCTTTGTCTATCCATTTACTTTCAACTCATCTGTGTCTTTATACTTGAAATGAATCATTTCTAGACAATTGAGTCTTGCTCTTTTTTTTAAATCCAGTCTTACAATCTCTGCCTTTTAATCAGAGTATTTAGTCCATTAATTTTTTGTTGTTATCATTAATCTACAATTACATAAAGAACATTATGTTTACTAGGGTCCCCCCTTCACCAAGTCCCCCACACACACCCCATTACAGTCACTGTTCATCAGCGTAGTAAGATGTTGTAGAATCACTACTTGTCTTCTCTGTGTTGCACAGCCCACCCCATGCCCCCACACACATTATACATGCTAATCATAATACCCCCTTTCTTTTTCCCTGCCCTTATTCCTCCCTTCCCTCCCATTCTCCCCAGTCCCTTTCCCTTTGGTAACTGTTAGTCCATTCTTGGGTTCTGTGATTCTGCTGCTGTTTTGTTCCTTCTGTGTTTCTTTGTTCTTATACTCCACATATGAGTGAAATCATTTAGTATTTGTCTTTCTCCGCCTGGCTTATTTCACTGAGCATAATACCCTCTAGCTCCATCCATGTTGCTGCAAATGGTAGGATTTGTTTTCTTCTTATGGCTGAATAATATTCCATTGTGTATATGTACCCCATCTTCTTTATCCATTCATCTATTGATGGACATTTAGGTTGCTTCCATTTCTTGGCTATTGTAAATAGTGCTGCTATAAACATAGGGGTGCATCTGTCTTTTTCAAACTGAGCTGCTGCATTCTTAGGGTAAATTCCTAGAAGTGGAATTCCTGGGTCAAATGGTATTTCTATTTTGAGCATTTTGAGGAACCTCCATACTGCTTTCCACAATGGTTGAACTAATTTACATTCCCACCAGCAGTGTAGGAGGGTTCCC